ATTTCACCGCGGTGTTACACTGGAGGGGAGCAGACAAAGAGTCTGGGGGTATTAGGGAATCATGTCATTGTAGATAGAAAAAGAAGACAAAATATACCTTTTCCCGGCACAGCCATTATACAGTGATCATCTCATCTTTCCACTTTCCACCTTTTTGCTGTGGCAGCAGGTTGCGGTCCTCCCCAGCAGAGGGAGCCAAGCTGTGCAGAAAGAGAAAACCTTACTCCCAGGTTTATGTTGACAATAAACAGACTTTTTTTTTTTTAAAGGTGTACTTAAACAGTGAATTGTCTTTTTCATGTTAATGCAACATATTTGGTTTAATTTCTGTTCACATATTATTCAAAAATATCAAATGCTTTCATAATCTATTAATCATTTAAGTAATTTATCCCAAAAATCCCCCAAATTCACAGATTCCAGCTCCTTGAATGTGAGGATTTGCTGCCTCTTATGTTTTATTAATGGAACATCTTTGGGTTTTGGATCGTTGGCAAGACAAAAGAAGCAACATGCAGATGCTATTTTGGGCTCTGGGAGCATTTAATGGCCATCTTTTTCTCTTTTTTCCTCTATTATAGTCACACCTATAATCAAAAGATTTAAGGATAAGTAGCCAAATTTGGAATTTTCTAAGAGATTTTGCTTTCTGTAATATCAGGAAGTTAACACGAGACTTCAGTAGTCTGAGTGAGACGACTCTAGTGTCTGTCTGCAAAAGTCTTTTAGTTAAAAAAAGAAAAAAGAAAAACTTTGCAGCCTTCAATATCCACTGATCAGTTATGAAAATGTTCATTGTTTGCAGCACTACACATAATGCACAGCTGTCTTGGCAGAGATGTCAGGATACTGTTTAGATTTGTCTCAATATGATCAAAACAAAGCAGACAATTAGAAGGAAGGGAATCAAGCATCACAATTAGAAAAAATGGTTTGTGGTAATACTATTACATTTTCTTCTTTTAATTGACTCCTTCTCCTCTTCTTGCTGCTACTACTACTACTTATAATAATAATTATTATTGTTATTGTTATCATAATAATATTGTACAATATCCAGGACAAAATGTATCTGGCATCTTGACCAACTAGTTCATTTAGTTACATTTGTAATACTTTACACACACCCAAAAAAAAAAAAAAGATAATTATAAAATATGAAGCGTCATCACAGATCAAACTGTCTAATCACATCTGAAGTAGTTTATATTAAAGTATTGATCATAAATAATCCAATAGTCAATCTAATAATCCCATAATGGAGCTTCTGACTCTGAGCTGCTTGTTGGTTCTGAACCCATCACCAGCTATGACTTCTATTTCTATATAAACTGAACTGCTGATGCCGGTATGCATTTTTAGAATTGTAATCTTTTCAGTCTTGTCAGTGATTCTTATAAATGACAGCAATAACTGTGATGAAACGGGCGGAATGTTGGCCACAAGGATGTCAAAGATTGATTCACTGCAGCGTTAATACGCACAATTTAATTGGCATTTGATTTTTGAATACCTCTCCAGCTGCTAGGATGATCAGTCTAACAGTCCAGCTGTGCATCTTCTTTAAATTCCCCCGCAGATGTCTGAATGAGCACCACGCAGCTGTTTACACGTCCCGCCACTTGCAGCTACTTACTTCTTATTGCTCTTCCTCGCAGTGTGGTTACTAAAACAGTGCGTAACCCGCGGAGCTCTGCTCGGCATCACACTGACCCACTCACACTGACTCACTTTGTTGGAGAACTGGCAGACACTTTTATTTATTTTCCACTTTTTTTTCCCAGGATAAAGCCCGGTGTGTGTGTGTGTGTGTGTGTGTGGGTCAGCGAGGCTGCTTTTAGGACAAAAGACAACAGTGTGGTATGAAAAAATGCACGAAGGACACAGAGGAGGAAAAAAAATCCACAATACAAGAGAATTAAAAAAAAAAAAAAAAAAGTGTGTGTGATGTACCACTCGTGTATTGGCCTTGGGTGGAATGAGCAGTTTCCAAAAGAACAAGGGCAGGGTGTGTGAAACTGTCCAGATGTGTCAGTGGTTTGTGCTTTTCCTTTTTCCAGTTGTGTTTTCATTTCTTGCGGTGATGCAGACTTTCATCCCCGAGGTCACATCAAGCGCGGAGACAATGCCACATAATTTCATTCAACAACATTTACATTTATTTTCACAGTACAGTTAAACCGACTTATAGGGTTTAGGTGGAGGGAAAAAATGAAGCGGATCGAGTTAGGAGGAGAATATTTTTTGAGGTATATTTAATTTATTTTTTAAAAAGAGGCCACTACAGGAAGCAGAGGCTTTGTTACGCAGCGTAAAGCTCCCTCTGACCCCAAAGGTGCGAGATGTCAAAGAGTCAAGAGGTATTTTCAGTGGCCACTAGATGGTATAATATATGCACGCAACGGGGTTTGCGCAAGATGACAGAAGCACTGATTAATGATTTTCTAAATCAGTATTATAGAACGACTTACGGCATGTTTTACTCATGTAGTTATTTATTTTTATGAATATGATGTTGTCTCCTTTTAGTAGAGCTATGTGTATATATCATAGCTGCACAGGTGAGTTTTTTTAAAATGACATTTGCTTTAAAAAAAAAAAAAAAAAAAAAGAATTGTGACACGAAAGAGTGAAATTTTAATTTGTTTTACGCGTCAATATACAAAACAAGCACCAGTTTATTTCCCCCACAAACAGTCTCCAATAGATTCCAAACAGGCACCTGCAGAAGAACACTCACATCTTGACAGATCCATTTTGTCTTTTTGATTTCATTTCAGCTGAACTTCATATCGTCTCTTAAAATCATCTGTTTTACGCGCAGCACATGAGAGGTCGCAAGATTCATGTGCAAATAAATAAATAATAATAATAAAAAAAACAAGAAAAAAAAGAAAAAAAAAAAAAAAAAAAAAAAACAACATGTTGAAAAAAAACAGCATGCTGACAACATCATCATCATCATCATCGTCAGCACTGACAGTCTTAAAACTTTGCTTCTGAATTTATAAAATACAACAACAATATTATTAATTATGATTAGGTGCTTAATCAGGCCTATTTAGCGCCTCACTGCATTGACAGTTACACATTTATTGATGCAACACTAAAGTCATTTTACCAATTATTTCATTTGGATTATTACAAACTAACCGATTCGTTCTTCATGCCTTTAATCAAGGAGTTTTAGATTTCGGGGCCACTTGTTAAAGCTGGTTAAATAAATAACATTAATGAACCACGTTTAACAACAACAATTACTTTAAAGCAAAAGCACAGTTTATTGCCCAGCGGGATGTTATAAAATATAGCTTGTATCCTAACATGAAGATATGCAAGAGCTCAGTACTTTAAAAAGAATAAACCCTGAAAGAAAGCAAAACCAAGTTTGTAATAATCCTCACAGGTCTGTCATCTCAATGTTAAATCATTCTCTTCTCAGTTCAGACAACGAAAAGCTATTTGTTTGTGCTATTTACAAAAAAAAAGATGTATTTTGGGGCACATTTTAATGTAATTTTGTGGTTTATGAAAACCTGTGCTGTGAGAAAAAGCTGTGAGAGCTGCTCTGTGGAGGTCACGATCTGCAGCACAGATGTTTGTCCACTTCAGCTCTGCTGCTTCACTAAAAATACTACAACTTAACAGCACTCATGCATGCTCGTTCTGTGGTGTTTACAGCTATATAAACAGAAGATAGCAGAAATCAAACTGCATTTGCTTTTACGCAGTACGAGAATTTATTCTGACGAAGAAATCGACGTTTAAAGAGACAAATATTCTGCTGGACGGAGATACTTTCAGTTTCCTGCGTTTCTCATTTTTCTTCAGTATGCGTCAGTGTTTATGGCAGCTGACTGCTGTAAGATAAGAAGCCTGGGATCTATTTTGCCTCGTTTCATTGAATCCCAGATGGCAAGTTCCTCGTTTTTTTCTAATTCTATTTACACAATGTAAGAACTTGGTTTGCGCACAAGCCGAGGCCTACCTGGTCGTGGAGATTTAGATGCAGACTGCCGAGAAAGTGACAAAAAAGAGCCCTTCGATGCAGGTGAAACTGAAGGTGGACAGAGTGGATCGGTAACGACCTGTCGGTCTAATGTCAGCGCAGAACATGTTACCAAAGAAACAAAGCGACACACTACGCGTTACGCACTGGACTCCCAACAGACCTGTTTGGATGATGAAGAGTTAAATACGAAAAAGATGACATTTCCTACAAATTCATTGTCCTGGTGTTGCATTCAAGTGATGCAAGGAAAATAGGGCATACCACACTCTAGTTATTTGCAACTGATGCTGCTACAAAAATCTGTCTTATGAGATCTCAGCCTTTTACGCACAGACTTTGTTTTTCCTGAGTGCACCAATTCTGAACTTCAGCGACACAGAATCTTCTGCAGTTTCGCTAAATTAATCACAAAATTAATCAAACACAATCAACAAGCATTTTTGTTGCCACAAGCCCTGCTGAGATGCAGTTTGTTCTCCAGTTTTATAGATAAGGCTTCGGTTGAAATGAATGTGTGTGGTTGCAACCTGTACGCCTTTTCAGGCTCCTGCAGGAAGCTCCGACCAAACTTGTCCTTAACTTTTTCCCACCCCGCTGAAAGCAACATGACGTCGTTTACAGTGGCCAATCGTGAAACGGCGTTCCTCCTCTCTGGGCCAATAGGAGGCGACGAGGAGTGCCTGTCAGTCACAGGTGAGGGTGTTCGGTGAAAAAAAATTGGGTGAAAAGGGCCGGAGACTGGAGGGAGCCCGTGCTGATGGCAGAGCTATGCGGTGGAGCAGCATCGCGCCCGCGGATGTAGCAGAAACTTTCAGGGCTTCTCCCGCGAGGATGCGACCAGGAACCAACACTGGAGGGAAGCAGTTAAGCGCCAGCAGTGCTCCACGGAGGGAGTAGCTTAAAATGTGGATGAACTGACATTTACTCCACTATCCGGGCCGGTTAATTACTCAAGTTGAAGACCGAGAAAACTTCTGCTTTTTTGAAAATGGCCGTTCGTGGCAACTCGCTGATGCCCTTCTCGATCCAAGCTATCCTAAACAAAAAGGACGACAGCCGACACTTGCCAGATTTGGACATGTGCTTCTCCAAGACGACGTGCTGGAAAATATTTGGGGAGATGAACGGCGGGTCGAGGAGAAATGATGGGGAGGCTTGCGAGCCGACCGACCAGAAAAGCTACGATTCGGACTCAGGACTCAGCGACGACAACGACAGCAAGACTCCGGCCGTGTGCAAGTCGGAGAAAGACGGAGACCCTGCGTCCGATGTGCCGGAGGAAAGTCTTCAGGAGGAGACAGACCAAGAGTCTGCAGCTGCGGAAAACGCAAAGAGTGACAGTGAGCCCAATAACGCCACGGGTAAGTAGGCCAGAGTGGTTAACATGCCACCGTGAAAAGAAAAAAAAAAAACTCCAATAAATTGCGACTCTTTAATTTGCGTAAAACCAAAGCAAGTATATGAAACTTCTGACTTTGACGCGGACAGTTCTGACTGAATGTGCATAGAAGCATTTTAACGCAGATGTTTTATGCTGCTGTTCCAGCTGTGCAGAATCAGAACGAATCCAGTGATTGTGTTACTGTAGGATATCAGGCCTTTTGCAAAACTTCCTGCTCGCTTTTACGCACGAATTGTCCTACACGGTTACGCACGATTATTAACAGATACCCGTTCTCATCCTGAACCTTTGTTACTATACTGCTAAAGTGTGCTGCACCGACACGATTTAATGTTTGACTGAAGTAACAAACTATAAGAAACACACACTTGATTCAAGACTGTTTTCCAAAATAATCTCCAAATTGTTTACAGAAGTTCTGATCCTGAGGCCGAAATGAAACTCTTCAAACATTTGTCACGTTTCAGTTTAAACAGCTTCCATTGACTTTATAGAAAATCCCACGCAGTTTATTTCTACCAATGTGCCAAAACAGAAAATAAAAACACGCTCTTACATGTGTGCACACACGTTTAAATTTAGATATTTGTTGTTTCAATGATCCACAACCCCAAACCATCATGTCATCAACAGACACGAGTCTAGCTGCACTGGAATGACAAATACGGAAATTCACATGCAATGCTCCATCTGTGTCTCCCTCTCTCAGACTCCAGCAACCTGGACGAGAAGAGCCTGGACCAGCCCAAGCAGCGGAAAAAGCGCTCCAGAGCCGCCTTCTCTCATGCGCAGGTCTTCGAGCTGGAGCGCCGCTTCAACCACCAGCGGTACCTCTCCGGGCCGGAGCGGGCGGACCTGGCGGCCTCCCTGAAGCTCACAGAGACTCAGGTCAAGATTTGGTTCCAGAACCGCCGGTACAAGACGAAACGCCGCCAGATGGCCGCTGACCTGATGGCGTCCACCCCGGCGGCCAAGAAGGTGGCGGTGAAAGTTCTGGTGCGGGACGACCAGAGACAGTACAGCCCGGGAGAGATCCTGCGGCCCCCGCTGCTCTCCCTGCAGCCGTCCTACTATTACCCGTACGCCTACTGCCTCCCTGCCTGGACACTCTCTGCGTGTGCGGGGAATCAGTGAGAACTCGGTGCCTGTATTTATTCATTTTTTAAAAATATTTTTTGCTCCCAGGAAACCAAACTAACTTTCCTTTTTTTCTGACAAGAGGAGGAGACCTGAGGAGACTGTGAATCAGCTCTCTGAACTTCCTCATCGTGTTGTCCAGGGGTTCCTAAAAATGTTTTGTGGGTTTTCACATCCTCAAATACTTTAAAACGACACCTTCGTTCATTTAGTAAGAGTCTGTCTTGTGGCACCCAGGAGGAGAAGCTGCTTCTCATGATTTAGGCTCCAAAATCATAAAGGTCTGAACTGCAGGTGAGCGAAGACTCTGGACTTCCTTATAAAATGTCAGTGTGTTCACCTGTGAGGAGGGACAGTAATAACACTAAAAGTATTCCTCTGTGTGCTGGGATCCCCTCAAGGACCTCTGAAGCCCCCCGGACCCTTCCGTGGGATCCGGCGGCCTAAAACATGACTGAAAATGTCACCTGATGTTGGTTTATATTTTACATGCGCCTTCCTACCTCTGCAGTGATTTGGAAATAGGCATATTCCATTGACTTTTCAAATATATGTCTCTGTTACAGGTTGTGTTTTATTTTTATTTTTTTTTTCTTGCTGTGTTTGTAAAGGTAAGATATTTCAGCACTTTTGAGCATATACGTTACATTATTTCAATGTCAAATGCATTATAGTTTGGGCATGTTCGGTGTGAGGCTGAAAAAAGAGGCGGTTTGTGGCCTGAAAGTGACGGTGTGAGCAGGCTGACACAAACCCAGCTGAAATGTAACATGTGTTGTTTGTGTTCAATGACTTTTTAGATGGGAAAACATTAAAACATATCAGGCATTACTTTCATTTGGATGCAATTTTATTTTATTCATGCTTATTTTACAAATTTAAATCTCGATTTTTCTCCGCTCCCTCATTAATTATTACATTTTGCTTTTACTTTACGCAGCGCTGGATGCTAATTATCTTTTTCTGTAGCGGACTGGCTGGAATAATGAACGAAATCATGTGAATTACAGTTAGAAATAAGCACTGCGTATTTGTGAGATTTCAGCCTCTAATCCTACGGATACAAACGTTTTGTGCTGCGACCATTTTCTCACCAAAAGTCAAACATTAAATGAAACTGGTCAGTAAATTAAGATTACCACAGCTTGAAAATGCCTCGTTTATCATTCCATCCTTGGCACAGATTAATTTCTGACGGTTTTCTGTGTTTGGAGAGAACAATAACCTACTCATGCAGCACCGAGAAACAAACAAAACCATAATGTGCATTACAATATTTTCTGTTCCTTTGTAAAAGCGACTGTGCTTCAGCTGTGTTTTCCAGTCCACTCTCCTCCTCCTCCTCCTCCTTCTCCTCACCGTGATGTTGCACACTGAGACCTTGTAGATGTCATCCGGGCCACCATAGCTTTCTTCCCAAACACACCTGTCAGCCGGTGATGAATAGCTGTGCGATTCCCGGACAGGGCAAACTGACAGCTACCTTTTGGGCTGTATGTCAACACAAGGAGAGGAGTATTCCGGGGTTAAGGAGGCCCATGTCACTGCGCCTGTATTTAAGTCAGAGTAGGAAAAGGTGGTTCTCATTCCGGGCTGCTACCAGAAGGGCTATAAAACATTTCTTGTCGTAATTTAAGGTCTAATAGTGGAATTGAAATATTGCGGGAGTCGTATTATAGCGGTTGTTCTGTATCCAGCAACAGGCTGAGTGTTAAGTCGGGGTCAGCAGGGAGCTGCCGCACCTCAGCCATCCATCTCTGGCCTTGTAAAATACTTAGACACTCAGCCTCCCGTGTATCAGGAGGCTACTGGACAGAAGAGCAAAAATACGCTCCAGGACATTGTCCCTTGTGTCTACTCTTTAAAGCGAACACTTGGACACTAAGGCACACAAGATCTACAAACCCGGAAGTGTCATTTATTGGGACACAAATGGGGAAATTCTGTTTTCCAGAGATGACGGCACGGCTCAGTGCCACTGCGCTTTTACGCACAAACAGCTGGATGGTGTTGGGGGCTGATCGGTGTCCCATAATAATTTTTTTTAAACCCTATAAAGCAAGTCCTCTTACTCAGGAACGGCGCCTATATGTCCTAAAATCTGATCTCCTTGATGCAGGTATCCGCGCCACCGGAGGCCATCACCAGCGGCAGTGATGCTGCTCATTGGCTGCTCCGGAGCGCAGAGGACAGAGCGGATACCGAGGAGTGGACCGTCCCACATGGCTTCCTTTCATACCTGCATGTGGAGATATCTGATATAGTGAGACATATCGCGGCTGTTCTTCCTTTCAACTCTGACTACTTGAAATGCAAACACCCCCATCGGTGTGCATTAACCCCATTCCAGCGCCTCCCCGTTATTTCTTCATAGTTAAAGCTTCGGTCGTGGGAATACAGTTATTATATTTCTTGATTAGGTTGCGGCCGTAAAGCGTATGTTGGTTAACGTTTCCTCAAGAAAAAAAAAAACATTGTTGTGGGAAAATGTGTGTTTTATTTGGATTTTACGCACGTATGTTTACGCACAAGCAGGCCAAACGTATTTTTTTCAAAGATTACGCATCAAAAAAGATTCTCGCTATCTAGATTTAATAAATGTTCTATTTCTGTGGGAAACCTGCATTTGTGGGGAATTTTTAACACCACTAGACGCTGGAATTCGGATTTTACTCAACAGAAGTTCAAACACACCTCTTGAGTTCAGATGATTTCTTTGTTATTTGGTTTATTTTATTGAAATGATTCTCGTCTATTCGGTTGGCCTTCACTGGTCTCTTTTAATTCACATACAATTCAGCGGCTTGACCCTGACTTTTCTATTGAGCAGTAATTATTTTAATTTGCACAGAGATGCTCCAGTGGAGTTACAGCACCGATTAGAAATAAATGTCACTTAACGGACAAAATTTGGCGCATTTTACAGAGAAGTGAGTCAATATTGGACTCGATTCCAGGAAAGTTCACGGCAAATCTTTGCCCATAATCGGGCGCATTTGCATCTTTTTATATATCTGTATACTCTTAATAAAAACCACAGAACAACGCCAAGTGAATTGTAAAATGCACAGATGCCTCGTTTATAATCAAAACAGAAGTGAAAGCTTTAACACACCGCGAAAAATGTCCACTTTACAAATTGTTGGACAAAACGTTTAAATCTGATTTTTCTTTGGTTTTGATGGGCTACAGGACAACTTGTATCGTGCTGAATTTTAAGAGTAACGCTCAAAAGAACCTCACAAGCTTTAAAAAACAGTAATAGGTTTATTCACTTTAAGTTTTATTTTATTTTTTTCAGCCTAAATGAAGAATGTAATATTTCTCTCTGCAGTCTTACATCATTTAAACTAACACGTAGGCCTCAAAGGTAAAGGTTCATCAGCCTGGTTGTATTTAATAACTGAAACAAGATTTTAGAGTTTAAATAGAAACTTAAAGTGTTCGTAAATTCGTGCTCACAGCTCGGTTTCAAAATGTCTGAATGATTTTTTATTTTGCCACCTCAACGTACAAATATCGCTTCACAATACTGTTCTGTCGACATTTAGTAAGACTGTAATCCCTTTATTTTCATAAATTTAATTAATCGATTTTACATTTAAGTCAAGGGCAATCTGCAAAATTGGACTTTTCATTGAGGTCTTTAACATTTATAATTTGACCATACAATAATCACCAGTAACTATAAAACCATCACGTGAAATTACAAAATACAGCTGATTTTATTTTTATTTTTTGTATTTTTCTCACTTTCTGTGTATTTGCTTGCAATAATTGAGCTTGAATATAGGGTAAAAATAACTATGACATGGCAAAACACTTGCCTCTTTCCCTCTTTATTAATTCTTTAAGTTGTGTTAAATCTATTTGACCATGTAAGTTTCACATTCCTAAACTCTGCTATGAGGCAATTTGGCTTCAGATCTTATTCATACCACTGAAATGAACAGAAAAACTAATGGGCCGCAGCTTCTTTTCTCCACAAATATATTCAGAGTACTCAATTCTTTTTCCAACAACCTTAAAAAAAAAAAAACAATTAGGAGTCATTTTTCCTCCAAAGCTCAGCTGTCAATCACACCCTTATAAGCATTTGGGACTCAGTGAGCTGACACTCACTGACACCTGCTTCAAAGTGAACCAGGTGCAGATTCCTCCTCATCCCACATTCACAGAGACTCTCTTTACCTGCGCTGAAAAGCAAAGTGTGAAAGACGAGGACCGTGATTCACCCTCTGGACTGTAAAACACCACAGCTCAGGCTACAAAACAGTTTATATAAAGAGGTACCTCAGTGAGAAAGTCCTGTTCCCAAACACTGCTGAGAACGGATTGTGGAAAAGGGTCAAAATACAAGAAAACTTCATTTATTATGTTACAGTGAATGGATCTTATCACATTGTGGTTATAACTTTCTCAGCATCACGCTTCAGCTTTAGGTCACAGAGCTGAAAAAAAAAAAAGCTGCACGCAGTGAGATGTATGAGAAATCACTCTGTAATTCCACAGTCTGTAGATAATATGGCTTTTAATGGTAAAGTTGCACAAAGTTCTTGTGTCCTAATCCTCCTTTTTGACAGATTCACATTAAATATGAGCAGGCTATCAACACAAAGCTTATCCCTGCTCTCCTTATAAATGACTGTTTTTCTTTACTGCATGTACGGAAGAGCTACGGTGCATATTTTAAAGAATATTTTAGAAACATGTAGAAACATTAAACTGATCTGGTAATAAATCACAATTCACAATATGCTCCGATTTATTTTAAGCAGCGAGTCAAGAAATACACTAGAGAAAAATGTAAAAAAATAAAAAAGTATTTCCTTTTGTCACTTTATCCAGGATTGGAGATAAATTTACCTGTAATATTCTTACTTTATTTGGTAAATACATCAGCGTGTCATCTGGAGCGATCACATTACACAGCTGGTGAGAAATGTCTCCAGACTGAGCGACTGTACAGCTGTGAACTGACTAGAAGGGGGAAAGAAAGAGCCAGAGCTGTCTGTCTACGAACAGGACGCCTGCAGGAATAATGTTAACCTCTGAATAGTTGATTAACACCGCAGAGTCTATAATGGTTTAAGGGCAGAAAACCTTTCTGCTCTGTGGGCCCTCTTTAGTCTTTGCACAATTTAACAGCTGCTGTGTGTGATTTTGTTTTGGTGAACTTAAATCAGAGTCATCACATCCTCCACAGTTTGGCTCATGGACTGGAGATAAAATGACAATGTGAGGACAGGTACATTTTAAATCATATTTTTTACAGGCATTAACTGCAGTCAAAAGAACTTTCAAGGTTACTCAAGATTAAGCTAATATTATAATATTAATTTCCTGAAAAAAATGATGTGTTTGTGGAAGTATTATAGCAGTACTCGGTCAAAAAGTACACACATACTGTCGGACTGAATGGAAGAATAGACTCTATATTTTTAGTAGTGGAAGTATTTAGAATAACGAAAGGAATCAAGGACACATCAGGCTAGAAAAAGTACTCTATAAAGGTCTGCATTTAAAAATGTACTTCAGTGGGCTATGAGAGTCATGTATAGGACTGGATTAGGGATCGGCACACACATTCTTTTTCAGGGCTGATACCAATTATTGGTAATCAAGGATAACTTATATTCGAGATGATACACATTTGCAGAAAAACCATTAAATCATTGGTGTTAAAATTCAGAAAACACAAACTCCAGCAAAACAAAAAACGTCATTCAAATGCCTCTGTGTATTCATGTTCGACATGTGTTTAATTAAAGAGACCTTTTTGGTATTTAACCTTCTCGACTGTATACTCTGGGTTGAAACTCTGTGGTGTCACGCAGTCTATTGTGGGCAGAGTGGTAACTACAGATAAAGACAGACTTTCACATCAAAGCCAAAGCAGTACATTTTAAAAATGTATTTATTTTAATGGAAATTGGTTACAAAAATAGGAATATTGATAATCGGAAAAATGCTGATCATCAGATCCCATAATCAACTAAACCAATGACCCCTTTTATTGATGCATGGTTGCTTTAATGTGTGGTCGAGGTGGAAATAAATGCTAAATAAATGTTTTGTATACTGTTAATTGTACAGTTTATTGTATTGTATATGCTTATAATATGTTTGTGTGTAAGCTCTTTTTTATTAGTAGCAAACATAGTTGTCCAATAAAAGTAGTGGAATAAATAATTCAGTATTTGGAGTGCTTATAAGTGAATTATAGTAGCAAAAAAAAGAAAAACGGAAGTACATGTCTGTGTAGATTCTCAGTCATCTGGGTCATAGTACTCAGTACAAAAGTAATTCTAGGGACCTATTCCCATCATGCATTATATGCATTGCTGCAAGTAAAAAAAAATTTTATCCAATAAAAGTTTTAAGCTTTAATAATGTTGGTAATTGCATCAACTTAGTATTATATGTAATTTAAACCAAACGTTCTGCATTTGTTGATTTAAAGCTAAATTCAAGCTGAGGTAACTTCATGAAATCGGCCTGATAAGTTGATTATTCCTCATCTTGCACACATTCCTGGACACTTTAGATGGGTAATTAACAACACCTTTGATTGTAGAGCATCATCTAATTTCCCTAACTCACTGCATTTTGTTTGTTGAACATAATAGTATTTGAAATTGTCAAAAGATTGTGTGGGTTTTCTGTTACGTCCAAATATTATTTTGTTAGAATGAGCTTCAGCTTCAATAAGAGACAACTGGACATCACTTTTTCAAGATGTTTCACCTATCTATCTATCTATCTATCTATCTATCTATCTATCTATCTATCTATCTATCTATCTATCTATCTATCTATCTATC